TATATATATTAATTTATTAAGTTCTCACTCACTTGATAAAATTTTCGTAAAATATAATTTAATTCATTAAGTACTACAATTTTTCAATAATTATATTTTATTTTATAATATATTTTAGTTATAAATAAATCCACTTAAAAATATGTATATTTTTAACATACATATATTAGTATTACATTTAATTAAGGAGTTGAACACAAGTAATTAAATTTAAAGTTGAATTATTGACAGTATTCGAGTTCATAAAAATAATTTTTAATCAAATTTTATTTAAATTAGATTAGTTTAAGGTACAACATTAGGACACGAATGTGAAAGTAAAAGAATATTAGCATTATATTTGTAAATTTTAATGAATATATTATATTTAAATAAATAAAATAATTAAATACACAAAAAAAATATTAGTTTAGTTTATTTAAATATTTATAAAATAATATATTAATAACATCAATTAAATGCTACTTTAATATTCCTCTATTACATTTAATGAATGTAATAATTTATAATACATAATAAAAATACTAGCTTACTTAAATATTAATAAAAATGTACTTTTATCAATATCATCAATTAAATATTATCTTAATATTTTTAGCGTTTGATCACATCAAGCTATGTGTGTGCATGTCTTTGTGTGTATATGTGTCTATGTGTGTGTGCTTCTTTGTGTCTGCTTGTGATTGTGTTTGTGTCCTTGTGAGTGCGTGTTTATGTATGCTTTTTTTTTTGTGTTTGTGTGTTTTTGTGTCTAAGTATGCGTGTGTCTATGTCTATGTTTGTATTTGATTTTTGGTTGTGCTATTGAATTGAGAAGTGGAGAACCTTTGTCTAGAGACTAAATGGTAGGATCTATGTGCCTAGTATCCTTAGGCCTAGGAAGTTGATCTTAGAATAGGGACCTAAAATTGAGTTGAAAATCCACCCAAGAGCCACCAAGATGTAATAGAACCTTAGAAAGGTGTCCTAATGATGTAAAATGAAGACAAAAATAGTAGATTTTGTTTGTGCATGTCTAGTGTGTTAGAAAGCTAAGGTAGATGTTAAACTACCAAAATGCTGCATAATAACTTGATATTTATTGTTGTTTTACCTCAATTTAATTATTAAGTCTTTGGAAATACTTCATTCCTTTTATTAAGTGTGTAGCTAACAACAAGAATATAAAAAGAATGAAATCACGAAAATTAAGGGATAAAATAGAGCAAATATAAAGGTTGAAAACATGCATGATCGTGCTTGTACGATGCACAACTGTGTTTTAAGAAAAACATGTCCAGATGCACGACTATGTTATGAAATACGGTTGTGCTTGCCAACATGCATGACCATGCTTCCCTCAAAGCACCCTTGACGACAAACACACCCTTACCACTAATGAAACATGATTGTGCTTACCTATAAGTACGCTCGTGCTTCTTGTTTTAATGAAGCACACCCAAGCTATTAAGTTCGACCATGCTTGCTAAGATGCACGACTGTGCTTAAAAGTCCGTCTTAATTTTTTTTTTGTAAATAGGGATGTCTAAAACATATCGTAAGATGTCTAAAACATATCGTAATCATCTAATTTTTAGCTTTACTTTCTCTTATATTTCTCTTTCTCTCCTCTCTTTCTTGTATTCGTTATTAAGTTTCTGTAAGAGGCTAAAAGTCAAGCACTTGGAAAAGGAATCTTCCAATTATAATTATTTCTCTTCCTTTGTTCAATGAGTTTTAATAGCATGTCTGACTAATTCCTCTTTCTAGGGTTATGATGTAATTATTCTTAATGAATCTCAATGATGAATTCATGAATTATTTGCTTTAACTGTAATATTATTTTAGTATTTTACCCTTATCTTAGCTAATTAAGTACATGATCAAATCCTTTTGATCAACAGAACTTTAAAATAATAGGATTATGAAAATTTGACTGATCAAACTATTTTCTTAATTTTAAGTTAAATTAATTTATTAATTTTCTTTTGTGTGCTTATACTTTACTTTTAGAATAAATCTCTCATAATCAATTTAGAGGTTTTCTTAAAATTAAAGACTATTGGCTTATATAATTAAAAGATTGTCAACAATTTCATAAGTAAAATTGGTGACATTATTTTATAATTTTTGAACGAAAGATCGGGAACAATAAGTCACAATTCTAAAATTTTTACCTATGAATTTAAATATCAATTTTATAATATTTTGTTCTTAATTTTTAAATCATTATTTTCTCCGATCAAATTTTATTTCTTCAAACTACTAAAAACCAATATTAAGTTGATAATTATTTAAACTTAATCATTTAGATTCATTGTGGTAAGATATATTTCCCTTTAAATGCATTTTAAACAAAATAGTAAAATTTGTCAATTTTTTTGCAACTTCTAAGTGTTCCTAAGTGAACATGGGATAATATATTCATAAACTTCGTAGCAGGTTTACCTAGAACCCCCAAAGGTGTACCTTTGTCTTTCATTTTTCCTTCGTCTTTCCCCTTTTCTCTTTCTCTCTTTTTTATCCTCCACGACTTCATAGAGAATGGATCCTCTCCTTCAATTTGTCTGCAATGTCTCTCCATCTCTCATCATAATCATTTATTTTTTGTATGCATCTAAGGGCTACAGCCTACAAATGAAAGTCCACCACCACACGTCTTCCTTTAATATTTTTGCGCCACTGTTACATAAAATTTGCTATAACTTTGTAAACAAAATAGAAAAGCAGAGCACATGTCTGGGACCATCTCAAAGTATAGTTTTTGGTGATCATAAAGTACTCAAATTTCTTGGCAAAGATAACAAAAATTACTGGGAATTATCTTGAAAGTTAAAGATTTATGCATGTGATTATTTTAAAAATTCTTTCAAGTTTCAACAACTATTTTAGAGTGAGAAAATGTTTGATGATAGAAACAATTTTTTTTTACATTGATAATTTTTAATCTTACATTGTTGATGAAACAACAATGAAGTCCATTAATTAATAATTTTTCTATTAATGTTACATTGTTGATGAAAGAAAAATCTTTACTATGTAAATAAGAAATTTATAGTATTGATGTCTATATGATCGTAGTCTCTGACGCAAATATAAAAATATATATAAATGTTATACATACATGTAAAGAAATTAGATATTTTTCTTTTGAAGAATTTGTCAGCTCTTTTCATTTTACTCGTATATTCACAATAAATTAGATAAATATGTACAAATTCTTTTATTTTTCAAAATAATTTCTTATAATAATCAAGCATGTAAAAGCATAATTTAACTAGAAAAAAAAAAAGATTACGGGATTTAATTTTTTTTCTTCTATAAAATAATTTTTTTAAAGGAACAAAATATATAATTAAAAA